AAAAATGAAACCCCGTCATCTTTGGGTCATAAATGCAAAGCGTAGAGATGAAAGAGCATTAAGGTTGTTAATTTCACCCGATCTGTAATCCCTAACACTAATACCATGCTGTGTCAGACCGAATATATCACAACAGTCTTCCCCTTGTGTGACCCCGACAACCTCCAGCACAGGTCCTGCTGGGCCCTGAAGGGGCTACTGATACACCCCCAGTTACCTGTAATACAACCTCCCCCCCCTTTTTACCTGTCAGGTTAATCCCCCTCACCATCCCCTGGGTAGGTAGTTGACAACAAATCAATGGGAAGGTGAGAATCCGACATGGTGCACAAACGACCTTGGTATGTTCAAACCCGACACATTACTGGAAGACATGACAGTCGTCTTATCTTTGAATTTTAAAAGGTTAATGGTCTTTGAAATATAAAACTCACAAACACATTGCCTGGTTAACAGCTTCTACGGTATGTGGAAATGATTAAACATGATTATTGTAAGAGGATCGAAGCCAGAAATAACATATTTCAACAGCTCGTATCTACAACTCGGTAAAAGATATCGCAGGCTCATCAGATCAGATGTCTGCAAATCAAACCAACATATTCTCAGTACTGGGGTATTCTTCTCTCTCAAATGGATGTTTTCTTATTGTGTAGCCATACTACAAGAACGGCAGATGTTTTGCCTTTGTACAAACACAAGCGATGTAGATAAATATATCAGTTTCCGCCATGTAATTTCACAGCTAATAAGATCCCTATGTGACACACAGATTGGATTTTTCTACCAAATTATCACAACAGCAAACAACAGGCAGATAGTATTAAATTTTAAATGAAACACAAATCCTTGTAAACGCTGTAAGTAATTTCTCAACGTGACAGAACCCCTTAAAATTCTCGTAGCAATTCAGACGGCTATGTACTAACTTGAGTATCCCTCATAGATAACAATCCACTCCTGAAGGCAGGAGTTTATTTAGCGTCTCCCCAAGTCCAGTAAATCACATATCGGAAGGTAAACGATTACACCATTCTCTTTACAAGAATTAACACTTCCCAATCGCTAGGAGGCCTTCTCAAGGGGAGCCCACCTATTTGTATAAAACTCTCGTCATTGTGCCCAGTGAATCATCATCTTGAATCAGACATTAACAACGTTTGGACAGGACCCTCAAATATGATCAATTGTGGTAAAGATACCAGCACCAACTTGAAGAGTGATAATGAGCTGGTAGGAAGACACTAGCCCGCCTTTGGCCTACCTGCAAGGCTGTCGGTAAAGACGTGGTGATCTTCGCTCTTTGCACCATGTATATCTTTTAAGAAGGTAACAACAGGTGCACCTCATGGTATGGTGTCATAAGTGTCGATAGGTGCTTCGCGCAAGCCACGGAGCTCGGTTTAAGCAAAGAGCTATTGATACACTTTCTTGAGTCTGTATTCATGAGCAAATTGCTGTGTTTACCTTGAAAGAACCATCCAAGGTATTGTCGCTACTTAATGAAAGGCTTGGCCAGGTTGTGTTATCACATGTGTATACGTCTCATGCATCAATTTGAAAATAGAAATCTGCACATAACCAACCATACTGACATGTTTTACGAGTAATTTGAATCAAACATGACAAGAAACGTTGTTTTTTTATCCAATTTGCCAAAACACTACTGCTGGTAATATAATCTCATAATGGAAATTTCTAAAAGCCTTTCAACTCCACTTCATAGCAATAATTTTACTCTTCAATTGAGTGACCTTTGAAACAGAATTGCAACCATTAGGAACATTTTTCTCTCAGTAGATTACACCAACTCTCAATGGAGGAAAAATATAGTAGTGAAGCGCTGGAAAACAATCCAATCCCAGTCTACAAATTTCCCAAGCGCTACCTGGTGTCTGAGTTGTAAACTAATCTCCCAAACATGGGGAGATAATCATGCCAGCAATTGATATTGATCCGAGGGGCCTTGTGTATGTTGCAAGGGGCCCAGCGGCAAGACCAGGAGATAATTCTCATATTGACATGTTGTCAGTTGAGACTTTCATTTACACAGAATTTATGATCCATTGTCAGAGGACTCTCTTTCAATCATAAAGCCCTTGGGTCTCATGGAGGGCATTTGCAGAGACGTGGGCTGACGAGGTTACCTCCCCTTGGACCAATTTCATTTCCATTTGAATTGTTTAGTGATGCCTCCATAACTTCTGTTATGTAAAGCTAGACAAATGTAAGCCAGGCATTTGAATTCATTTTCAGCCCAATAAACCAGTTAAGTACAATGCCAGCATTTGTATATTAATGACCAACGCCCATCCCTGTTGTCTTGTGTATCATCTCAGAGAGCACAACTTCGGACCCAGGTGATGAGCTTATGTTAACAACTGCAGTCATGCAGAAAAAGAGTTATTAGATCTTGATAATGGCTTTGGCTAATGTACACGTTATTGACAAGCCACGTTCATCTGATATGGACATCGACAGTGAAATCAGATACCTTCAACAATGAACATTAATGATGATTAAAGGGCCCCAACAATAAAAGTGATGATCTGTCATCAGTGACAGTGCGCTAAATTTCGAAACAAGTGGTTTACAGCCTGCCATTCTGCGGGCAGCACTTAATCGTTAATGATCATGGTGTCAAATGCTTGAATCAGATGGATTGCAGAATATGTCATTTTGATGATGATAATCTTTTTGTACTGTCTCTGATGGGCACCTAAGCCGGAAGTGGCCAGCCATCAGGAAGAACATACAGATCGGCAAACAGACATTATCAATGTCCATACAGAAATAATTTGTTTTCTCATTAATAAAGAGGAACTTGTGCAATTCAATATGCTGATGCCCTGTGATTTGACGTACAGTTAGAAACTGCTGCTAATCAACATTCACACCATCATCAATCTTTTAAACAACTGTAAATAGAGTTTCATATGCTTTTTCTGAAAATGTAAATATCATTCATAAATCAATCTTAACATTCAGATATTATTTAGTGCAAAGAATATATTCAAGCGCAAAGAATATATTCATCCATTACACGGCCAACAAAGAAAAACAGGAAAAAAATTCTTTCAAACAGCAATTGATGAAATCGGGTAAGGTGATCTCAATTGTGGGGCAAGTCTACAAAAAATTCAAAATGGCCACCAGTTCGCGTCTGGTTATCAGTGGGGAAATCAATATGCAACTGTTGTCTATGAGAAGAGACCCTCTAGGCAGCAAGTGCAGATAATCTGCAATTACAGGCAAATAATGATAGCTCAGACGCAGCAATAAAGATGCTTGAGAACTAAATCTTCCCCCCTAAGCTTCATTAGACAATGAAACATTAAAGCCTTTGCTGCTGGCCTGGTCTGTCTTGTAAATTTGAACTGATCAGAGATTTCGGAGATGGTATTGTCTCAGGCAGACAGACAGCACCATTTCCCTAACTTGTATGTTGAGCTGAATATATTTCTACACATCAATGGGGTTTGCATGAATACTGAATTAACAAAATATTCGCAAACATCAAAAGCCATTGTAATTCTGCCATACGCTTACAAATATGCAGTCTTTTTGTAAACGTTAAAAGGCAATGGTTGGTTGATGTTCCTATAAATATTCTCCTGGCATATCAAAATGTACTCAACTGTGAGTGCACTTAGTGCGTGAGTGAGTGTGAGAGTGAGTGAATGTCCTGAAGCCACCATCAAAATAAAGTGAGCTGTATCACAGCAGTCAGTACAAGTTCAAACCAGAAAAACCAACAGCTGACAAGATGAAAACTTCACAGTTTCCTTGTGTATATTCTGAATATTTACTGAAAACATGCAAATAGGAAATATTTATAAATTTAGTTAAACCAACATCTGAAGGAAGCCTGTTCATTCCTGATCTCTGACAACAAATCAACATGTTCTGAATGATTTTAATAAACTTCCCCCATTGTATTCTTTTACACATCATTTATAACAGTAAATACACTATGTGAACAGCAAGGACAATTTCTGAAGGTAACATCAGATATATACAGTCCTGGGCCTAGATTTTTGAAGCTCTCTTAGCGCTAAGATAGTCGTAAGTGCCATACATTAACATTAACTTACGACTAAGCGCTAAGAGAGCTTCGAAAATCTAGGCCCTGATCTGTTGAGACCTAGGTCAGATTAAGCCCTCAGCACCTGATTGCTTGTCTAAACAAGTCAGTTAATTGGTTCTGGTGGTCGAACTCAGTGACTTGGTTCACTACAAGTCAGTATACCCCAAAGGAATGGGGTGTTCATCATATCAACCACTGGTTTGTCTGTCCATTACATTACAGACTCCATCACACAAGCTGCCATTGTGTAACTGGAATATAACTGCATGTAAAACCTCAAGGATATATCAAAGAAAACTGAATATGAGAGAATAGTTTAACTGCCTTGTAACAGTTACCCAGTTATATCATGGAGAATAACCTCAGTGCAGGAGGAAAGCCTCAAGCGATGCGGGTCTTGAACGTTTATCACTTTGGTGAAAAACACGACCACAGGTATGGTGCTGAGAAACCGAGAAACATAATGGGTGTCAACCGGGATTCAAACCCACAACTGAGTTTTTTTCTGCTGAAATGTTAACTGCAATGACTCGGACAACTGGGCCACATAATTGAACATGAGATAACTCTGCACATCTCCAAAACAATCATGAATGCCATAATAGTTGAAATTGGTGTTTTAAAACTAAACTAAATAACAGAAACCGGATTCAAACCCATTTTTCTGCTGAAAAGCTAAATGTGGTGATGCAGACAACTGGGCCACCATGTCCCACAACTAAAAATGTGATAATTCTTAAAAACAATCACGAATGCCAGAACAATTGAAATTGGTGGGTTTGGGTTTTTAAAAATAAATTTAACAGAAAAACTATTGCACTGCAATGTTATGTATTTACTTCAATTTCCTTTTCTCTCAATGTTCATGACGATTACAGAAGATGAGCAGAATTCTGAAGAAAATCAATCTTACCTTTTTCTGGTACTTCTTTTTAATCGGCTTTTGTTTCTCCTTTGGTGGAGATGGCGGTCTAGAATTGGGCTTCTCCGGTTTAGGCTGGCGAATCCCATTTGTGTTTTTGTAAGACTCCTGAAAGATGAACAATGCAAAATAACATAAGCATATCCAGTTCTCCATAACAATACAAATACCATCATAAGAAATTATTTTATCATATTTCTTAAGAATTTTTAATATCATCCACAATTACACTAAAATGTCTGTAATGATCCTTTTCAACTTTTGAAACCAATCCCTTCAAAATGTCACCGAGTGACTTCTTTCGAGTAATGATCAAGAATATGATAATATAATAGATCCCATCTATGAATATATTAACCTATATTAACCTATGGCTAACCATCTCATCAATCACCAGAACACATCATACAACATTACACAGCGTTGTCACAGTAACTTGTCGACAAAGCTCTGTAGCTTAGTTGTCAAACACAGCTTAGCTGGCATCAAAGTCAGGCAGAGTTACTTCCCTTGTTCAGTAGCTGAACAGGTGCTTTGCCATGATAAGGATCGAGAGTGGGCTGCAATCAATATCATTTCAGGACACTTATCTTTTAATTAACAAGTTTCCATTTGAAGCGGTATTAGGTCAATACGGGTATGTAGTACATTTTCATACCAATTTATCATGTCAGCGAAAACTGTGAGTATAATCAGGGGAATGTTGAGATTGGGTCATTAATTCTGATTCAAAGAAAATGTTAATCTCCGGTTGAATTTTCAATGTGCTATAAAGCTTACAGATAAGATTTTCTAAATGACCGTGAAAGGTTTATGTTCCAGCGTTCAAATATCTCAAAATTTTCTCGGATTTTATCCCCAAAAAATTGTCAATGCCCTTGTAAGAAAGCTTCCATGTGGAAAATCCTGGCAGTTCCCATCTCTCGTCTATATCCATGTATAATATGGAGAATGAGACAATAGTTTGAGGATACACTCTCTTACGCTAGATTATTGTCTGTCTTACGCTAGATTATACATCAATAACTAGATCTTAAGTCTCCCTCTGAAGGCTCAGACTGCAGCTATCTCTGTTCGTCACATTCTTGGAAATTTAAAGGGGCCCTTTGAAAACCTACAAAACACTTCTAACATACTGCTTAATTCCATGCCATTGACTGCCTCAGTGACATCGTCAGAGACCTCATCAGAGACCTTATCAATGACATCAGCTACAACCATCCATTAACTTTGGATCTGGCAGCACACAGTATCTGCACTGACATAATGTAGAGTGAGTGAGTGAGTGAGTGAGTGAGTGAGTGAGTGAGTGAGTGAGTGAGTGAGTGAGTGAGTGAGTGAGTGAGTGAGTGAGTAAGTGAGAGTATTTATTTTACACTGCAGCAATATTCCAGCAATATCACTGCGGAGGACACCAGAAATGGGCTTCACACATTGAACCCATGTGGGGAATTGAACCCGGGTCTTCGACGTGATGAGCAAACGCTTTAACCACTTGGCTACCCCACTGCCCGTTAATATGTAGATAAAGTATGGACTTCATTCCTATAGTTTCATGTGCATGTTAGTGGTTGTCAGTGCAGATCGATTAATCTAAGCAATATTATACTACCCTGCTTCGTGCTTGAGAACCTTGTGTTACATCCTCCATTGTCCATGACATCGCATATCATTATGCCATCTGAACAATAGGCTGGCTTCACTGAAGTTGACATACATATTTATATTCTTGTATAACTAGTGAGTGATTGAGTTTATTTTTACACTGCTTTAAGCAATATTCCAGCAATATCACAGCAGGGGGAAACCAGAAATGGGCTTCACACATTGTACCCATGTGGGGAATCAAACCCGGGTCTTCACGACATCAAGAATCCTACAACTTATATATTATGTATCTGCATGAATTTCAGAAGTTCAAAGCCAACTGTATCATCAGTATTATCATCATCATCATCATCATCATCATGAGAAGAAGAAGATCATCATTATATCAAAGAAAGTAAAGATAATTCATAATTCCAAGTACATTCTACTACATATCACCCATATTACATTTCACTTGTGAAGATCAAGGTTAGAATTGATCTTCAGCAACCCATGCTTGACGTAAGAGGCGACTAACAGGATCGGGTGGTCAGGCTCGCTGACCTGGTTGATACATGTCATCGGTTCCCAATTACGCAGATCGATGCTCATGCTGTGGATCACTGGATTGTCTGGTCCAGACTTAATTATTTACAGACCACTGCCATAAAGCAGGAACATTGCTGAGTGCGGCGTAAAACTAAACTCACTCACATTTTCAACAAAGCCCCCCCAGGGCATATTTGTTAAGATCAGACACTTTATATTTCTAACACTCAAGCATCAAGGGACATCTGTGTCGGTGTATTGGGTCAATTAGCCATCACTGACACCTGGTGAACTCATCCAATATGCAAGGATTTTCCTTTTATAGAAACTTGGCGTCCAAGAGCTGATTGGCACATACATGAAGCATATCCATGCAAGTTCTGTCCAGACTGCGAAACCATTAAAACATAACACCGTGGCAATGAGGAGGCTGTCCATCCCCAGACTATCACTAGCCAAGTAATCAATGCTATTACTTGGGAGCTGTACTGCTGTACTGTGATCAAAGTGGATGACTCCTGTTTCACTTAATTGCTTCGTAATTTTATCTGTCTTGACCTGAATGATGTCAGTGGGAGACAGCTAGTTTGTACAGTCAGAAGAGGGTCCAACATGTCTTCATAGTCACGTCAGAGCACGTCCATAGAGTTAGAACAGGTCCTCACAGTCAGAATGTCAGAGCACGTCCGTAGAGTTAGAACAGGTCCTCACAGTCAGAATGTCAGAGCACGTTCGTAGAGTTAGAACAGGTCCTCACAGTCAGAATGTCAGAGCACGTCCGTAGAGTTAGAACAGGTCCTCACAGTCAGAATGTCAGAGCACATCCGTAGAGTTAGAACAGATCCTCACAGTCAGAATGTCAGAGCACGCCCAGTTTAGTACAGAACAGTCCTCACAGTAATGTCAGTTAGAGTTAGAACAGGTCCTCACAGTCAGAATGTCAGAGCCTCACAGTCAGAATGTCGTCCGTAGAGTTAGAACAGGTCCTCACAGTCAGAATGTCAGAGCAGGTCCTCACAGTCAGAATGTCAGAGCACGTCCGTAGAGTTAGAACAGGTCCTCACAGTCAGAATGTCAGAGCACGTCCGTAGAGTTAGAACAGGTCCTCACAGTCAGAATGTCAGAGCACGTCCGTAGAGTTAGAACAGGTCCTCACAGTCAGAATGTCAGAGCACGTCCGTAGAGAGTTAGAACAGGTCCTCACAGTCAGAGAACAGGTCCTCAGAGTTAGAACAGGTCCTCACAGTCAGAATGTCAGAGCACGTCCGTAGAGTTAGAACAGGTCCTCACAGTCAGAATGTCAGAGCACGTCTGTAGAGTTAGAACAGGTCCTCACAGTCAGAATGTCAGAGCACGTCCGTAGAGTTAGAACAGGTCCTCACAGTCAGAATGTCAGAGAGTTTCTACAGTCAGAACAAGGCTGCAGTCACAATGTCGGAACAGGTCCCCATAGTCACAATGTCGTAGCGTGAGCGCACATTTGGGATAGATCCTTACAGTCACAATTTTGGAACATTTTATCATGAATGAGTCAGTGAGTTTGGTTTTAAGCTGCTTTTAGCAATATTCCAGCAATATCACAGCGGGGGACACCAGAAATTAGCTTCACACATTGTATCAATGTGGGGAATAGAACCTTGGCCTTCGATGTGACGAGTGAACACTGTAACCCCTGGGCTACACCACCGCCCCTTATCATGAATGGAGAGAGAGTGAGTTTAGTTTTACACCGCCTTTAGCTATATTTCTGCAATATCACGACAGAGACACCAGAAATGGGCTTCACACATTGTAGCCATGTGGGGAATCGAACCAGGTCTTCGGCTTGACGAGCAAATGCTTTAACCACTAGGCTACCCCACAGCCCCTTATCATGTGAAGGAATATACACAAAGCAGCTAGTTTCTTGACTGAAGTTAGCCCTCCTGACCGGTCCGCCATCTGATTACATCTTCCCTAATTGTCCAGTCTGCTTTGGCCAACTCTTTCAATCAAATCTTCCTACAAGCATTGATACTGGAGACCTGATTAGCCATGTCTCCCTTTGGAATGTTCATTCAGTGCTACTACACAAAATCTTCAAATGTCAGCAATAACTTAATTATCGTATTTTCATCTCTCTCTTGACCCAAACAACCCGACTTCACATCAATTTATTGTCCCCAAGTATCTACAGACAAGGACAATCATGTTTTATTGTCTTTGCTTGTCTGTCTGAGGTTTTACAAAACACTCTTCAATTTTCAAGCTACATGGAGGCAGCCTGTAAATAATAGCTTGGACCAGAAAATCTGGTGATTGACATAATGAGCATCTTAAAAGTCCATCCAAGATTAAATCTCCACTTTTGACAAGCAGTGGTCAATGAAGACCAATTATGAGTGAGTGAGTTTGGTTTTACGCCGTTTTTAGCGATATTCCAGAAATATCACAGCGGGGCGACACCAGAAATGGGCTTCACACAATGTACCCATGTGGGGAATTGAACCCGGGTTTTCGGTGTGACGAGCAAATGCTATAACCACTAGGCTACCCCACTGCCCCAGACCAATTATGACCCTAATCTATTTGTGGCACTTCTTTCCTTGCTGGAAGTACACCTCCTACCTAGTAAGACTCATGAAGATCCAGGTTAGAACTGATCTTCAGTAACCCACACTTGTAGTAAGAGGCAACTAACGGGATCGGGTGGTCAAACTCGCTGACTTGGTCAACACATGTCATCGTATCCCAATTACGTAGACAGATGCTCATGCTGTTAATCACTTGATGGTCTGGTCCAGACTGGATTATTTACAGACCACCGCCATATAGCTGGAATATTGCTGAGTGTGGCGTAAAATTAAACTCAATCACTCACTCATACCTAGTAGTCCAACAAAACGCTCATACTTCATGAAAATCACATCCATCAATGTATGTACACACCTGGCTTTGACAGCTTGTGAAAAATAAATAAAGTGCTTAATCGC